AGAGGATGTATGCATGTGCGCGTGTTGTGCTTGCGTTTTGTGCGCTATTGCATGTGCATCTCCCTCATTATGTTTCTCTTTTATCCACGCATCGGCTCTCTCACTCCTTCACTATGTCACCCATTTAGTCAGGTGTGTGACCCGCTTGCTTGCTCTCAGAGATTCTAACTGTAAAGTATACGTGTGTAGTTTGTAAATCATCTCGTTCTCTCGCGAGTTTATTTTCCCATTGAATTAAGAAATTACGTCGGCTTTCATGAATTATTCCTCTCATCTCATCGACGTGTCCAGTGTGCCATCTAATCACGCGCCTCTCCACATTTCAGACAGCCAACCCGAAAAAAAAAAATCTAGGTTGTTGTTACGAGCCGAAACTACACCTGAAATTAAACACAAAGCATGATCGATATCGCACAGAGATTCGACCAGAATTCCGTCGCTTGTGCTTTTGCCAGTGTTCTGATTCGGTTCCGATTCGTTTAACCTACTTGTGCCACTTCGAGAGAGGTGATGATGCTACATTGACCTGATATTGTTAGAATCAGTCTAGCGCAATGCGATATGCGCAAATACATCGCGATCACGCGAAAGTCTGGGTAGGTTCGCTGCGCGTAATGGATCACAAGACGCAGCATCGTTCAGTGGCAGGACAGCGGCGGCGGGCATCACCAACCGCCGTAGCACAGTTGTAACCCACTCAAACGCCCACACCCAACATCGGGTGTCACATGTCTGACCCAGCACCCTCGCACTCGCCACCCCTATAAACCCCAGCACCACACTTCTGACGACCACTTTTATCATCACAATCGATCAGCATCACACGGCTGCCCAATTCACTCACAGCACCCCCACACAACCCCATAGCCACTACACGCCTGACTTATTCTCGCCCATCCTCACCCTCACCGTCACCCACGCACCCCCCTGCTACACATGCCCTTACACTCCCCACTACCACTCACAACCCCTGGCCATGCGTACGCTTGATCTACTATGCACTCGCAACACACACACACACACACACACACACACACACACACACACACACACACACACACACACACACACACACACACACACACAATCACGCTCACGCTCACGCGCGCGCGCAAAACATCAAACAGACGCAGGCGACGCGTACTCTGTACTCCTTCTCAATGGTCGACAGCTGATGCAGCTGGTTGCTTAGTTCGAACGCCTGCCGAATGGGGTCGCTCGTCGACAAGCTCAGGTAGGCGGCGCTCGCGAGTCCCCGAAAGGAGTTAAGACGCGAGCGACTGTGCTTCACCGAGTCGAATGTGCGCTGATTCGTGCAGTCCCGGCAGTCGCAGTTGTAGTCGTGCGGCCAGGCGATGCTGGCGCCGTTCGTGAGAAACAGCTGAACTATCTTGAAGTTGTTGTGCTGCGCGGCGAGTATGATCGGAGTGACATCTGGCGAGAAGAACGGGTGGTGGCCGGCGACGCTGCGCTGAAAGAACGTGTCGTTGCCGATCAGCTGCGCCCAGACCCGACTGTTCTTACCGGAGAACTCGAGAACCATCTCGCAGATTCTCACGTTGCCCTTCGAGATGGCGAACAGCAGCGTATCGCCGATGCACTGCAGGTTCGACTTGGGCAGCAGGTGACCGATCACGTCCAGGTGTTCGCCGAGCACGGCCAGCTGCAGCGCGTTACGGCCCAAGTAGTCGACGCAGTTGATGTTGGCGAGCGGGTAGTCGGCGAGCACGCGCCTTACCTCGCCGACGTTACCTGTCGCCGCCGCCTGCAGCAGTAGATCCTCGGCCTCGGACAGGTCGAGGCTGCCGAAGATCGTGCTGTGCACGTGGTTCTGCATGCTCTCGTAGCGCTGTCGGCGCGACATCGCCATCGCTGCCTTGACGGCCGTCAGCGCCATGTTGGCTTTGGCTTCCATGCACTGCCGCCGGACGTCAGTGCTGCCGCCGCGGCTCTGCTAGCCGCCGCGCGTCAGTGCAGCTGCGCGCGGGGCCGTCAGTCCATTGTCATGACGAGCGGCGCCGCTAGAGGGCGGGCGAGCGGCGTCTACGGTGGCGTCGCGCACGGTTAACGTCACTTCCCGTAGCATTGGCGGAAACGCGTCGGCGATTCCCGCGTGATGACGTACGTCGCTGCTGCTGTGACGCACGTCCGCGTGCTGTGTACGCACACACGTCACCGTACGATACACGTCAGATGTGTATAGATATCTATACACACGGCGTATTTCTGCTGGTCTCGCGGGTATCACTCTCGCAGTGTCTCGTTTGAATCGGTAAAACGTTTTATCGGTTATTTTTAGCAGAGAACTCCGTAGACGTGCGTCACCTGCGTCTTCGCGTCATCACAGCGTCGCACGCTGGGTCATCCGAACACGATGATGTTAGCGACAGCGTCAGCACTTCCGCGGCGTTGTCACCAGCCGAGTCATTCACGGGAAGCAGCGGCGCAGGTGTGCAAGCAGGCATCCACTCAGCTACCCACCAGCATCTATGTCACGCGC